ACTTGAATCTACGGATTCTATTATTTAATTTATTAGAATATTAATTCAATTAAATAATAGATATTGCCATATATATGCATTGATTATATATATTCAAAGTGTTTATGTCCAAAGTTGATTGGACCTAGGGCATAACACTCACACTGCTCTTGTGTTTTCTTTTCTTTATTTTAAATTTATCATTGAGATCCTAATTACTTGATTTTCTTTTAGTCCTTATTTGTTTTGGATTGGAGGAGGGTTTGCGAGTAGTTCGTTTCTTCATGGCTGGAGATAAAAGAAAGCTACTATAAGATTTTGGATTGGAGGGGGGTTTGCGAGTTGTTCGTTTCTTCATGGCTGGAGATAAAAGAAAGCTACTATAAGATTAACTTATTTACCCGGGAATAAGATTCATTACTAGTTTATTTTAGTTTCTTCATGTTAGTATCTTAAATGGGAATATGGGATAAATCACTTCACTACGGCTTTGCTTCTTTTTTAATTTATTTATCCAAAACAATATTTAATGATGTTACTAAAAAGCACTAAATGCATTTCCACGGAACAGAGTTCACTTTGTTAATGAATGCAAAAGAACTTATCTTGCCCATTGAACAGACTAACCTGATTCTACGCTGATCCAAACAGCAACAATTTTCTCAAGTTCAGGTCCTTCAAATGTAAACTCATCTACTGAGCCCCTCTGGTAATGCAAAACATCAAAGATAACCTTGTCTACTGACCATGTAGGATTGTCCATCGAGCAAGTAGGTAATCTTTGTAAGATTGAGTCACCATTTTCATCAATCAAACAGATCAGAACTCCAGAGTTGACATCGCTCAGATCTGATCCATAGACGTTACTTGTTTTTAGCTTGACTCTGTACAAGCACTCTGATCTGGCAGTTTTGGACGAAGTAACCGTCTTTTCCAGTGATGCATCTGTACAAACATTCACCTCTGTGGCTGGCAAAAGACGCGAAGGTTTTGCATATTCCTGAAAATCTGAATTGACATCGGTTCAGATAACAGATTGACAAGCCAATATGTTATGGATAAATCATAAACCCAAATAGAGAGCATTAAGAAACAAATGGAATAAGAAACAAGCAGTGACCAGACAAAATTATAGTGGTACTTCCACTTGCCCTATAGGTTTTTACTATAATGTAGAGGAAGAGTCCAAAGTTATTCTTACAATTACAAAAGAACAGCGCCCTCAAAAAATTCCATACAAGAGTAAGAATTTTGGGTCAATCTGTGGCGGTATGACTAGATCCAAAACAATCCAATGCAATACCTAATTCAACGCCAACAGATTAGTTAGAGAATAAAACCTGCCTTTCAATTATAATATCGTGACGTCTGCATAATTTTTATAAATTCTAAGACCTATGATCAATAAGCACATATCTGATACTCACAGTTGGGTTCTGTAAGTTAGGACTAGTATGTATTTTTGTATTTAAAAGTGATCGAGGGCTTAACTGTGTATGTCTCCATACATCAGTAACATCACATATAAGATGAACATTTTTTTAAACAAAAGATAAACACATTTTTTGAAGTACATCATAGATCATACTCCCATCGAACCCCATTCTACATCATAAATTAAACTCCTTGAAAATACTCCTTCAAGTTTACATTACGACTTAATTCTAGATTATATATTAGGGATAATTCTTCTTGTACATTAGAGGTGCCATAATGGACACATGGCACCCCACCATTGAAGAGTGTGTTGGCCCACCAATACACTTTCCAATGGTGGGGTGCCATGTGTCCATTATGAACACCATTATCGCACCACCCCTAATGTAGTTGTAGCACTTCCCATATATTAGATACATAGCATTTCTGATACGACAGTTTCACCAGTCAACACAATCACACCTGAATAACTTATCAAAATGATGCAGAAAAGATTAGAACACAAGTCACATAATGTTACTAGGTGATTAACATGCCAGAAAATAGCCTTTTAAACAAATGTAATTTTTTTTTTGGCTCCTTTTCTGTTTTCTTCATAAAACTCGACAAGGAAGATAGTTCAGCCAAGCGCCAACCTAAGCACATTTTTTTTTTAACAATCAGTGTATACTTCAAAATAAAATAGATTTTCACAGAATGTCTTCGGGGAAGCCGCAACCCTTGAATTGTAATGGGTAATTTCTAAATGACCACTCTTTCTATAGAACAAAAAGTTCACAATAGTCAATATTCATTTTCGCAAAGGAACAAAAGATGAAAAAATCTTGATATTCAAATATTTCTTATACTTATCATTATTATCGAGCCCACAATTTTCAGAATCCGTGCAATAAGTAAATCAAAAGAAAACGAAAAGATTGTTTATATGAAACATGGTCATCTATGGAAGCCATAGAAGAAATTAATTAATTAAACTATTTTTAGAAAGAAAGAGGCGTCATGAATTAGTACCTTGAAAATTGAATTTCTTGTAACAGAGAATGAGCGGAAAATGGTTCCTCAAAGTTGTTATAGGAACTGGGTTTCTTGGATGTGTTAAGGGAAAAATTGTTAGAGGCGCAGAAAATGAAAGCTTTGAAGAAAGGTAGTCCATTTCTGCTCAACTTACAGCTTCAGGAAGAAATAAAATTAGATGGAGCTGATTTATTTTTTTTTATTTCTGATGGATGGAATATTGGAAAGATTTCATCCAACCCATTAATATTACTTTTACACTCGTGGGCCACTCTGTCCTATTCGAGGAAAGCTTTGTTCACTTGCTGGACTTTGCTGCTTGACCGGATGTCACATACAGTACTTTCAACGCTACATTTGGCGATTCACCCCATACAAGTAGCAAATTTTTACTTGGATTGCTGCATGCAACCTACGATTGTGGATGCAAAAATATAGGAAATAAATTATAATAGTTATCTTGTATAAATTAATCTGGACTTAAGTTTATTCAAATCACTCGTTAATTCATCTACTATACAAATATATTATTTGTTTGTTTGTATGTTCACTAGATCGAAAATTTATGAAGACAATATATATATTTCTATGCCACATCGAGGAAAAATTATTGATAATTTTGGATGAAAATGTCTCCAAGTGGAAAATAATTAAAGAAACGCTTTCATTTCATTTCAATACTAAGAAAGAGAGCAGCATAATTATGCTCCTTGTTATCCCATTAAAATGAGACTAGCCGAGGTGCCTAAGAGGTACAACCGAGGCTCCCCAAATGGCTAGCCGAAGTGCCTGAAGAGGTACTAACCGACGTGCCTAAAGAGGTACAAACTGAGGTCCATGCTGAGGCACTGTCTCAAAGACGAAGCTCTACAACCTTGAGCTGAACCACTACGTAAGGATACAAAGAAATGAGCTGAGACTCTTCACTTACAGGACCACCTCAAAGATCTCTCCGAGGCTCTCAACTCTTCCGAAGTTCACGAAGCCGACGTAGTCTCTTGTAATAGATTTGAAGATCTTTAAGAAGTGATTGATGTGACGTCTGTAATAAAGTTTTGACAGTGTGTCAGCCTATTGTATAGAGCGA